CTCTTAGGTCCCCGACACCCTCCCCGACCCAGCGGGGCCTGGAGCCACAGGACCTCCAGGACGATCTTCCCTCCCCCCAGGGTCATCCCAGCCCTTCTCCCTGCACCCCGTCAACACTCAATAAAGTGTCCTTTATTCAATCAGAAATCATCCTCTCTGCTCATTGCGTCTCAAACGCTCTGTGTCCTGAACTTGACCGTCTTTAGCGGTGAACTTAATTCTTCTGCCTCGGGGGAAAGGGGTCTACAGAAGACGTCCTCCTGGTTTTGGGAGGGGTAGTTTCACTCTCACCTACAGGCCAAAGAATATTCCAAACAGAAAATACCTACAGGAGAACCAAGATAGAAGACGACCCCTCACAATGGCTCTCTGCTTTCTTTTCTTGGTGGGGACCTTGGCCACGGTCAGTCATTGCTGCCCCCTTGCTGACACTGGCTCTCCGTTCTGTGGGGATAATGTTCGAGGGTCTCCCCGAGCCCGGGCTCTCAGGATCTGGAACTAGAACCCATCATAAGACGTCCACTCTCCTTTCCCTGTAGGGCCCTCGTCTCCGTGCCGTGATTGTCCTGGGGTCCTTTCCCCTGGGGACCTTTCCCACGATCACATCCTAGAACACCTGCCATTCCTTAGGGGACACCCTCACCTGACTCCCCCGGGACAAGGCTTGTGCCCTCTACCACTGACCCTCCCCGTCACAGTCAGGGAAGAACACTCTGCCAGGACACTGGTCACTCCCACTCTCACTCCCACTCCCACTGGTGGCTCCTCCTCCCACGGTGTCCCTTGGTTCCCACTTGTATTCATTCTCTCTGGGAGACAGACACCAGCTACGCTCTCTAGGACCCTCCCGGGCCCAGCCAACCCAGGAATCCGCCCCTGGTGCTGGAGTGACCTGCCTGGGGCCTCGCTGTTAAAAATCTAGGGTCAGATACTAGAAATGGGCTGCCACAAGGTCTCTCAACTGACTCTCGACTTAGGAGTCTAGTGTGGGTGCCGAGCGAGAACAACAATGCACGCACATGCACAATGAACACAAACACACACACGATGACCACAAAGGCACTGGTCCCATCCAAACGCTGTCATGCTGGGCAGCTCTCAGGAAGGTTCGGGAAGAGCGAGAGGACAGGGTCTGCTCTGAGTGCAGGGTAGAACGTGAGCAAGGAACGCTCTGTCGCTGCAGTCCCCACCAGCGCCAGTCAGTGTCAGATGGAAGGCCAGGAGGTTCCAGTCCACGATGGTGTGAGACAAGACGCATGATGAGCTCCTGGGGGGCAGTCAGCACGGGGGGTCCAGGCACATCAGGGAGGAGAGCAACAGTGCTGACGCAGCGTGCCACCGACTCACAGAAACAAGGAGGCTAGGTCTGTGTGTCCCCTGCCTGACATCTGTAGCTGACATCCCAGCTCTGGGTGCCGGCCAAGGCCGTGGGGGTCAGGGCCCCCTCACCATCTGAAGGTCCGTTGCCAGGGTACAGCATGTGTCCTGAGTGCTGGGGACACCCTGTTCCACTGGCCAGCAAGACTCCCACAACGGAACTCCAGGAGAACTGCTGGAAGCAGTCACTGCCTCCCCACCCACCGGGTCCCCCGGGTCTTTCAGGTGGACATTCAGCCCTTACATCTCTACACAGTGACGTCTGCCCTCCCCGGGCTCAGGTCGGGCACTACACACTAACCACCCCCTACACCTTCCTCAAGAACCAGCCAAGGACACCATTCTGGAGCTCAGGGCCCGCTGAAGGGATCGCAGTGCTTGAGGGGAACCTGCTTCTCCTCCCACTCACTTTCCATTTCTGACCCCAAACCCGCATGGCCTCCCGTGCTGACGACGTTGCGGTATCCAGGACCCCACCATGAGTCCCAAGTCTGCAAAGGGGTCCCAGCTCCATCATCTCTGTGTGAAACAGGCCTCCTCACACCTTCCACAAGGACACCCTGACACACAACTCCTTCCTAAGGATGGAGTTAGCTGGGAATTCCGAGGCCACAGGCAGACATTGTCCCCAACTCCTCGCCACGACTGAGCATGGATGCACTCTGAACTCTCCATCGACATGAAATTCCAGATCCCCAGGGGCCACCCCGCCCCACCCGCCCATCTGCCCGGCCAGCACCCGTGACAAAGACACTGCACTTTGGGCCTCCCGAGCAGCTGCAGGTGGGCCTGGGGCAGGGCTGGAGCGGCCCACAGAGGGTTTGTGTTCGAGGCTGTGTCACAGTGTCCTGTGTTCGGCGGCGGGACCCAGCTGACCGTCCTCGGTGAGTCTCCCCCTGGCCCTCCTCTTGGGATCTTGGGTGCAATTCCGGGGTGTGCTTCGCTCCTTTCAATCTGGACAGGGCTGAGGCTCAAGGTCTGTGGGTCTGTACCTTTTGTCCCCTTTGTCTGTGCCTCATGCCTCCACCGGTGTCATCTTGTCCGATGTCTGTTCAGAGCTATAGGGGACCAGACCCCAAACCCTGAGTAATCCCCACGCGGGCCTCTATGTGGGTTCAGCTCCCTCCTGAAAGGAGAGTTCTCCTCTGGGCTCAGGGAAACTGGGCTCCCCACTCAGGGTCTATTGCCTGCAAGAGTCTGGGGGGAATTGGGGGTGGTGGACAAGGAAGAGGGAGGCTCAGCCTACCATCAGGGCCAGCGGATGAGAGAAGGAGGCTGGAGACTGCTCAGGCTGTGGCTATTGTCTCTGGCGTGCCCCCAGACAGAGGACTGCCTGGAACACAGTGAGGAGATCCTTAGTCTGGTGACCCTGGAACAAGGAGGGGGATGAAGGACAAGGGGTCAAGGATCAAGCCTGGAATTCAGAGGAGAAGGGGGCCCAGGGTGTTGGGAACACCCACCTCCATGGGGACAGTCGCACGCATGAACAGGACAGGTCTCAGGACACTCAGGCAGCAGAGGTCCATCCCTTCCCAGCCCACCGCAGCTGGAAAGCACCCTGAGCAGATGGATATTTGGCCCAGGGGACACTGAGAGGGACAGGTAACAGGGAAAGTGCCTGCCAGGCACTCAGAAAGTCGAGGACAGACCATCCCCCAGCACAACTTCGCAGAGCAGGCAGAGCCCTAGAACAGACCCGGCCCCAGCCTCAGAAATAAAAACTCAGCTCGCCTGAAAACTGTGCCTCTGCGGACTCTCTGCAGTCGGGCACCAGGGGCTCACAGCCCTTCCCCACTCAGCATCCGTACCCGCGGTTGGGGATATCTGTTGGAGGTAGTCAAGGCTGATGTGAAGCTGTGAGGGCGTCTAGGGCCAGGACTCCTACGTCTCACGTGGTAACAGAGCCCTACAAGCAGGGACAGGCCTGCTCTAGGAAATCCCGGGTAAGCAGTCTGGGGGAGGTCCCATCGAGAATGAGGTCCAAGCACAGACAGAGTCAGAGGGCTCCCGGGGTCTCAGGGCCAGTCGAGCCAGTTCTGGGGGTGGCCTGGGTGAATCCCAAGGCAAAGTGTCCTGGAGAGAGCCTGAGACCATGGAGGGGCCCAGAAACTAGAGGCCGTGACGCTCAGAGTCTCCCAGCAGAACCTGAGTGACCCAACCCAGGCTGCCCTGACCCCGGGACAGCAAGGGCCACCTGAGGCCCAAGCCAGGGACATGGCACAGCTGCATCCGTACATCAGGACAGAGGTAGGAGCTGGCAGAAGAAACCTCTGACCTTGACCTGCTGCCCTCCATCCCCACAGGTCAGCCCACGTCCGCACCCTCGGTCACGCTCTTCCCGCCCTCCTCTGAGGAACTCGCCGCCAGCAAGGCCACCCTGGTGTGCCTCATCAGTGACTTCTACCCCGGCGGCGT